ACCTATCACGAAACGAGGGCCGAGCCTCCTCTTGGCGGAGTGACATTTAAAAGGCAACGTTCCTGGGATCTCCCCAGATCCAGAACTTCGACGGCCCCAAAACACATTTGTTCAAGTTCTCAGGCCCCAACCTAAGACACCAACAGGTGAGGGGCGGGGCCTCAGTTTTTTTTCCTCGACCAGGAAAAGGTGTGGCCAGCTTGTTGAGTCTTCGCATGGTTTGGCTCGACCCTCAAAAGAATGGGGCACCAGAGAGCCGAGGCTGAAAACACGAGGATCAGCAACTTGGCCGACGGGAAGAAACGGGCAAAGCGCAGCTTGGGTCATTGTGTTTGCATAGGGTGTCTTCAATACGGGGACACCCCAACATGGCTGGTTTCCCTTTATTTCCCTTTTTGACAACGCTTAAAACATACCTCAACAAAACGCACTCGTATCTTTCAACGTGGGAGCCCGCGCTTTGTTGGGCACGCAGACACAGCCAATCTCTCTGGGTTAATCAGCCATTGATGGTGGCTTCGTGGGAACCCAGACCAAAGGCGACACGGATCCTCGTGGGTTCAGAGGGGTCTATGGCAGATCGCTTTGTCCCTCAAGCCGCTAGCTCCCCCCACAACTTCAGCGTGTTTGTTAGCGGAATGTCTTCAAAGTGTTTCCCAGGAACAATCCAGTGACCCTTGAACAACCCCACATGAGAGCTATCGGAGCAACTGATCGCAACCTCACCAAGGGGCACAATGACCTTGGGGTTGATATCTTCTTCCAGGTTGGCTGGCCCAACCATGGTAGCGTTGGATCAGGATTTTGTTGTCGCCAGGTTGAAGGGCTCAATCCTAAGAACCGATGGCATGCTTCCAACATGTTGTATAAAGGCGAAGGAATGTGGGCCCTAAAGGGCCTCACTTTTCTTCCATAAACCAGCCAGGCCAAGAAGACTCGGGTTTGGGCGTGTTGATGTTCTCAGATCTATGCGCTGGAGCCCAACAAGAAGTGGGTGCAGCCCAGCCTGGCCTTTGTCAAGTGGCTTTACATAAATTCAGCGCGCGGGACCGGTACACGTTGCTCTTTCTTGGTTCTGTGCGTATTTCAAGACGAGATAAATCACCGACTTTCTTGAACAAAAGGATGAATCAAGACAAGCACCATCTGATTTTACTGTGAAAAAGTATCCAGATGGCAGTCCTAGTGATCTGCGCAACGTGTTCTGGGTGCGTAGTCTTGTGGATTCTGTGTTTTGTTTTATGGCTTGCGAGTTTTGTTCTCTCTCTCTCTCTCTGTCTCTTTGGGTGTTGAACACTGCCATGTGATCTCCGCAACTTGTTCGGGGAGCTACTGTGTGCAAGTAAAGGTGTGGCTTCAAGGCCTTCGTTTAGCCTCGTCTGTTTGGTGTATCCTAAGCAAAAGGACCTTGAGAGAAGGAGGGGGTCCTTCAACATTTCCTGTAACAGACCTTCCAAAAGTGGCTATGCCCCATTTTAGGACACCATTCAATGAAGACCGAGCCGAACAGTAATCCCCCCATTTTTATGCTTCTAGCATGAGCACGCAGAGCCCGTTGGCTGGAAACATGGATTCCCATGCCATACAATCAGCGGAAGAACAAAAACAGGGACGAGCCTAAATTCATTTTGGGACACTCATCAATTCAATGGCTAGTGTCATGTACCCTGTTTCCGGTGCTCTAGGTTTCCCCCCAGTTCACCGGGGAAGCATACTTCCTTTGTGGCATGCATCTTTACAAGGGCCATGGGTTTATGCGTGGCCATCAGCTTGGTCACAGGTACGGAGTGACCATGTGCCTCACTGCGGGCCTGTGCTTCCTGTGGCAGCCCTCCTTCAAGACCTTGCGCACCGCGGCGTGCATGGTGCGAGCACGATTCGGAGGTAGAACGATACCATGACAAAGGTCCTTTACTTGGGGATTAAAAAAAAAGATGTTGGTATCCCTTTTGTATTGCCTTCACGCCATCCCACTGTTGTCTCACAAACAGTTGGTTTCCTTCAGTTGTTCCTTCTGCACCATCCCACAGCGTGTGTTCGGTCTTCAATTGAGGGCGCCCCCTTGAACTGTTTCCTTCAAGATCAGGCACAAAGGGTTCCCGGGTGCTATTTCCGGCTGCTCGAAGGTTCTAAGGGCTTTCCTTAGTTTGTTTTTTTGCAGGTCACGTCTATGCTGCTCCAGGCCCGTCTAATTAGGTGAGACCAAGGATTTGATGCCTTCGACCACAAGTGCTGAAGACTGGTTCGTAAAAGTGCGTGGCAAGGCACAGCAGACTCGGCAAACAGTAAATTCGCGGGCGTCGCCGGAGCCAAGGGCGGTGTTGCCCCAATACCTTCAAGAGGGCCATGTCGCCTGACATGAGTTTGTGACTCCAACCTAGGGACTCCTCTCTGATTCCGGGCAGCTTGCCTGGGACAGAATACGGATTTCCAGAGCTTACTTTGGATAAGCTTGGCTTTGTCTTGCATTCCCACTCTTTGCTGTTGCACCAGGCCTGGTGTACACGCTTATCGGAGCCGGCCTTCTGCTGTACCGCATATATTACTACGCTTACAAGGCCTCTTGGTATCTAAGAAGTCGTCAAGCAAGGTTGCTTGTTAGATGCCCTCAAGGAGCTTACCCAGACATTTTGATGTGACCATGTGATTGTGTGAATGACTGGCTTAGGCAGTCAGTCACGATGTGCAGAAGGCCGATATTAGTCGAGCAAGCTTTGTTCATAGCCAATTTATGCCAAGCAATGGAAGTCTTCGGCTGTTTTGGTTTTTCCCAACCAGGGTTCTCTTGGAGGGGGGGTCCAGAGCTCAGTTTGAACCATGGGAATCCCTTTGAGTGTCAACTCGCCAAGTGCAGTTCTGATAGACGGCTTGCCCCTTTTTTGGTGATTTAGTTTGAAGAGACCCGCTTCCTAAAAAGTTATGTGACAGCACAAGGCGCATCATTTGGGGACATACTTTGAGAACTTCAAAGGCAAGCAACGTGAGTTGCCGACCCTCCAGGAATTGGCCCCACCAGAAAGGGAACTGTATGGGGGACCCGCCATGACGACAATACGGGGCCAACTGCCAGCATACACATACCCACGCCCCAAGGCGTTGTTTCGCCTTGACGCAGAACTTCCAAGATCGATTTTGACCGGCACATGTCAGGCTGTCAAATGTGCCACCCTGCCCTGGGAAGAATCGAGTCACCGACCATCTCGCCAGCATGTTGTCTTTCTCTCAAAAAAATGATAGCGGTCTGGGTGCTTTGCCAAGGTGCATGTTGATAGCGTGTTGACATTGGCTTATACCTCCTGGAAACCTTCAGAAAGGTTTCAGCCAGCCTCTATGCGTAAGTGTTTTGCCAAGCTCGCGAAGGAAGGTGACTCTTTCATCGAATCCTATGCAGCTTGAAATATGCATCTAAGTGTTTCTGACAATGGATTAAGAAGTGAGCCGTCGGGTCTCCAACCAAGTTGTTGGTCTCATCTTGACGTGCACAGCCCTGATGATGCGGTAACACACCTGACTACTTTGGCTTGATAGGTCGGTCGTCAAACTTTGATGTGAAGTCTAGCCATCAAGGATATTCCTCGAGTGAAGTAGGATCATGTTTCTCGAAGCGAGAGCTGCTTCAAGCTTTGATGTGGATTGCTCCTTGGCAGTTTTCTGAAGCCGCTGGACCAGGCAACTACAATGGCCATTGCATGCGGTCCAAAGGCAAACGGGGATTCCCCCCTGGCGACTGGCCAAAGGTTTCCGGCCTTGGTGAAGGTCCTTTGCCAGATCCCATTTATCACGGCGCATGGTTACGGTTCTATGTTTGAGAGGGGCTCGTCAAAGGCCACGCTCACACGATGGGTCTTAGGAGTGGATGCTGTACTTTATTGATCTTTGCTTCGTGAACAGCAACTTGGCCTACGCGGAAGGTCATGATCCCTTTGACACAAGCAATGCTTGCGAGACCTTGAAGGGAATGACCATTCGTCTCTTGAAGGTGTCTGGATTCGATGGAAAGCTTGTTTGATACAAAGGCAACCCCAAGCAACCTTTCCAACATAGGAACCTCCAACCAAGTAAATATACAGTCTACATTTATTCCGGACTGCCCCTACCAGGCTTGATCACTGCTGTGAAAGGCGAATGAAACCCATCACGACTTTGATTGAGCTCGCTTGCCATAAAGCAGTTTCAACCATTTGGGAAGTTGACTTCTCTCACCATGAGTTGATATCGCAAAAAATGGTTGCAATAAGTCGCAGAGCCACAGCAACACCGTGCTCCGACGGGCTTGGCTTGCAAGTTGCGACAATGTCTGGTTGAGGACGGTTTGGCCCAAGGGTCGCTGTCTGGCCTCCCCATATCCGCGTCTCAGACGGAACTGGTGCTCATCCAAATCGAACTGGAAGGGAGGGCTCATTGTGGTGGTTCTTGTGGGCGAGGCCTCATACCGTTAGGGGTTTTATGGTTCTCACGTTTGTGATATTCGTGAAAGCCTCCCTCCTGTAGGTGGTGCAGGATTTCGTCCATCCACAGGGGGTTGGCCAAACAACCTTGAATACTCGTAAACAAGGTGATCAACCCAACCGGAGTGTTGGAAGCGTGTATCGGAGATATCCCTTCCGGTTTCGGCTTGGGAATGAACAAAGATGGATTCCGCTGGTTTCCTTCGTTTGGCATCTCGAACTACCAGGACCCATTTATCACGACACAGTGCGCAAATTGAGTCACAACCTCACAAAGAGTTTTGGTTTAAAGTCACCTATACCTAGGTTCCTTCTTTTGGGCTCCTTTGTTTCAGGATGCCAAAATCTGATTTAGCCATAAATGCTATTCGAAGGCAGCGCAGCTCAATTGGTTCCAATATCACGGAAGTTCTTGCAAAGCTTTATTTGGTTGTGGATGCATGAGAGGACTGCCCAATCTTGTTTTCTCGCCTTCTCAGAATTCCAGATGAAACATTCGCAAGTAAGTTTGTTTGCTCTGCAGGTGGCCCCCGTTCTGTCGCTGCGCGTATCTAGCTCCTTTCCTGAATTTGCAGTTGCTATACAAACATGGATTGCACTTTGCAGAAGCAAACGGACAGCAGACGCTTTCAGGCGGCGGATTCTAGATCCTGACAAGAGGCCCCTCTTTGGCCATGTCGTGAAGGAGACGGAGCTATCAATTTGGGCCGTCACTGATTTGTGAACGGGCAAACCCTCAAGACGAGTGGTTTCGTTGGGGCTCCCTTGAAACAACCCGACAAGGGACCTTTCAAAAGGACATACCTTGTACCTGGCTGTTCGAGGGCAGACTCATCGCCTTGCGTAGGATGGCTCTTCGTTTGCAGTTCACCGCCCTTTCGCCCCCATGCCACGCGTGCCCGGTTGTGTTCCAACTTCACTCGCCTCGGCCATGTGCATTGTCAAAACGCCTGTTGGTCCCACCGAGATTTGGACCATGCATGTCGGCGTGGTGTCGACTGAGGCATCCTTCTGATATGGAGCCTGTGGTATTGCACGGAAGGCCAATGCTCCAAGGCGCAGTGCGGTCAAAGGGCCGAAGCTCGGATCGGGGAAGGATTCATGGATTTGCTTCGGATCCGCAAAGACGGGGATCCAGTGTAAGGCTCACAAGTGGAACAGAATCTGAAAGTTGCGCTTTCTGCTGGAGAAAAGAAAGCTCTATTCGGCCCATTGTCCACGCCCAGCAAAAGCGAAGCTTTGTCTTTTTTGTTTAAGGTTTGAACTTGGGTTGGCCACCGCCGGTAAAAGGACCTCCGAGCCCCAGTTCAAATTTGGACAAGTGAGAATGCTCTGTCCCTGAGATGACTGTGCTGACGTGGGGCATGAAAAGAGTCTTAGAATGTCCCATGCAGATGTACATGCCGATATGTTGATATGCTGATAGATGAATGCCAGAATGCTTTCAAACCCATATCGTTGTGTCATTTTTTCATTGATTTAGACATGCATACCAGTGTCCTTCAGCCACTCGGCATCAACCTCATGTTCTGTTTGGAATTTTCAACATATGTTCCCTTCCTGCTCATTGTATTCTAACAAGTTTCTTTCAACATACTTTGAAATATATACATTTTGCATTTTATTCTGCTGCATTTAATCCAGCATTTACGGGGTTTGCACAACTTGACTCTGTTGGGATCTCCGTCTCCGGTGGTTGACACCACAAGAACTCACAAGTGATCCAATGATGATACTGTCATCACTTGTAGAGCAGGTTTGGACAAAATGCCACGTGATGCAGAAAGCGAGGATGCCGTAACTTCTGAACATATCCACATGACTTCCCATCTTCGAAATTGGAGATGGTCATCCAAGTCAGGCATGCGAATAGTTGCCTACCTAAAGTTATTACCGATGTCATAGGTTCGTGTTTTCATATGCTCCCAAGCATTCTGGATGGATGAACCCCGAAAAGTGCGACATCAACCTCGAATTTTCCAACCAGTTTTCCCAAACACGACGAAATAACGCAGTCCCAACCCAGCATCTCAAGCCGGGTCTGCCAGAGGTTTGTTTCTTGAAAGCCTTTTTTTGCATGTTGCCACTTTTGTGTCTTAGCTTGCTGGAAAACTCTTTTTTTTGACGTTTAGCCTGATTTCAAAAACGCAGGCCATATGGCACCTGCTACTGGGCAAGAGTCGCCTTGATTTTGGATGAGTTGTGTGTGTGTGTGTGTTGTGTGTGTGTGCGTAATATACATATATATATATATGTATACATGTGTGTGTGTGTGCACGCACACATAACTCGTGTGTGGCCGTATGTGGGGCCTCCGGGTTTCCGCAGGAGTGGCTGCTGGCGGTGTACATGATGGCGCAAGGCCCGGTGGCCGGCGCCACCTTCCCGTTGCAGACCCCGCTGCTTCGGTCCAAACGCGGTGCTCCCGCCAGTTGTTTGTTTGTTTTTTGTGTTTTTTGGCTTTTGGTAGGAAGACGGAGTGGAAAGAATGGAGAACTGGAAACTTGAGCAAGTGCAAGTTAGTACGCAGGGGAAGCCCCATGTGAAATTTCGGGCAAGTCAGGGAGCCTTGTGGTTTCGCGTTTGTGGCTCTTTCGATTGGAAAGTTGATCTTAAGACGGGATCTAGGTTCGGTCAGACGATCCAGTCTACGATTTGGAAAGGACATGGGGGGACTCAGAATGCCAGTTTTCCCGAATGATGGGTTGGGCGTACGCAGTCCTGTAATACGTGTTGGTCATGACTCAAAGGGTGGGTTTTGGCCGCGGGGTCTTTTTGGAGCAACTGAAGCTCAGGAGTTCAAGCCTCTACTTGCCAACCCACCTTTTCAAAGCAGGCCATACCTTCTTCATGTGGAAGCGACCAGTTGCCACCACCAACCACCTGTGTTGTAATCGGTTGACCTGATTCTTCCCTGCGATGAGATCGCCAGACAGCTTCTGGTAAGATTGTGCGTGCGATAGCCAGGTATGATTTGCCGGTTCCCTCAAAAGAGTCACATGTCATGTGATTGCCAAATGGGGCAGTTCACGTGACCAAGCGAATCGACCTTTGACCTTTTGTTGAACCTTTAATGTTCAGAGAGCACCTCAGGTAGATCCTGTACCGTTGCCGGTTACATTTTCATGTTGACGCCTTGCTAATATTTTGTGGTAAGTGGACACCAACCAGACAATTCTGTGTCTGACCTGCAAACAGTCGTTGGGACGCTGGAGGACACTATGTTCAAGTTGATATTATTTGAGCTGAGCCGAGCTTGAATCGATTGATGGCTTTGAGGAATTAGCTGTTGAGTGCGGGCATTCTAGGTGGCATACGTATCTTCGATGTTTTAGCATTTGTTGCATGTTCTCATGCTCTTTGCCAAACCCAGCCTTGAACATCGTGCTTCGTTCTGGTTCAGAGGGGTGATTTCCTATACGTTACCCAGATCTAGTTTTATTGTAGCATCAATGCTCGTACTCGTGATCCATTCAGGGGTCCTGGGCAGATTGGGGGTGCGTCGGGTTTCCATAGTTCGGTCGGATTCCACATCACGATTTGGGGTGTGCCTTTGCGTGGGTGCCGTTTTGGGGTTAGAAGGGATACCACGTTCAGGCGTTTTTCTTGGAGAGAGCCCCCCGTGCCTGACCCCCCCCCCCCAGCCGACCCGCCCGACCCGAGCCTTCCAATTTTGGGTGCGCCGAGGCTCACACTGCACCATCCCGAGGTGGCCTCTCGCGCACCTCACTCGACGCCGTGCGATGAATATACCTACCGCACGTACGCACGTACGTACCCCCACACGTGGGTATATGATAGACACATATGCATTTGCAACGAATGCAGGCAATGTCAGATGATGTGTGAAGTAGTGCAAAAATATGAGTGTGTCATTGCGATGAGAATGCTATGCAACGTGGCATAGAGCAATGCAATGTTGTGCAACGCTATGCACCGTGTCATGAATCTATGTCATGCATATATAATTGATGTTTTGGTGCATGTAATACGATATTTGTGGTGCACATGTTGCAAGGCAAAGACAATCTCTGCAATAGGCATGATTGTCTATTGCTCTTCGTGGGTCAGGGTCGTTTTAGTTCGAGCGCGTGTGTGTGTTTGTGTGTGTGTGTGTGTGTGTGTGTGTGTGTGTGTGTGTGTGTGTGTGTGTGGGTGCTCTAGCGTGGCCATCCAGAAGTAGCCACTCAATGCGGGTGCATGTTTATGGTGGTATGGATTCAGCCGCGCAGTTTATATGGTTAATGCCACGCATAGGGACCCTCCTTTCCATAGGTTTGTCTCCTTTCTCAGCCAAGACTGCTCCAGGTTCACTGCAGGAACTTTCAACTACTTGCGAAACGGGACTGGCCTTCGGATTGAGAAGTTGTCTTGGACCCTTCAAGAGTTCAAGACACTAACGGAGAGGTTCCTTTGTTTTGCAAAGGGGCTAACCGACAAGCCCCCCCGGCAGCATTCAGACGTTCAAGTTTGGCCGATTTCTTGCAAATGCAATGTAATATGCCTGTGTGTGTGGATCGCCGCAACCTTGCACAGGGTTAGCAGCGAGAGGAACCGCCAACGCACAGGGCTGCAGCAGCAGTAGTAGCAGCAGCAGCAGCAGCGCGTCAGCGGCGGTGGTGCCTTAGCGTACCGAAGTACTAAGTACTGATGGTACCTCAGCGTTCAGTCCACCGGAGTGGCGAAAAAGGAAAACAAGCCAAGGAGCCAGCCCGAAAACCAGCCCCGGAAAGCCCAGAATCCAAGCCACACCGAAGAGCCGAAAAAGGCAGCAGCCAAAACGACAAATAAACCAAAAAGGGTGCCGCACATAAAAGGTCCGTGGTACAGTGGAGGTACCTTAGTGCCATGCAAAGAAAAGCGTACAAGTTGTCCTGACCGTGTTAGTCAGGCAAGCAGGCGCACCACGGCTAGTCCATGGTCCACGAAAATCTGTTTTTCCGGGATTTCACTTCGTCATGACGGATCCGACCCATCATCATGAGTCTTTCTATTTCCCCACCGTCGGGGTTCTGAGTCCACCCCACACGGGCGGCAAGCATGGAGACTGGCCTTGGAATTTGCGCCCGCAGTTCCGCAAACGCGCAGCAGACCCAAAACACGTGATCCACAGAAGGCACAACTGCCAATCCGCAGCATTCACAGGTCAATCTCTGTGGGCCTCGGGGTGTCCACTTTGCGTCCGTGCTCATGCCCCCGCACATGCACGAAACCGCGTGTCCGGGAAGCACAGAAGCCAGCTTACGAAGCCTGTCCACAAGCCCAACCGTGGCGCGGACTCGCTCCTGCCGGGCCAGGATCGCGTCGCGCCTGGGAGATTTCAACCACTCCTCCAAGCGTGTACACCTCCATGCGCTTCTCAAATCATGAAAGGCCTTTTCCCTATCCTTGTAGCTGGCCTGAAGATCCAGCACCTGCCTGCCTTGTCTCCAAGCTGCCCATTGCCCCGGCACTGGGGTCCAACCCCAGTGGTCGAGGCATTTCTGAAGGGCCCGGGCATACCTAGTCCGGCAAACCCGGTGCTGTGTCGGGGGCCTACCTCCGGCCCGCGCGTGGTCGGCCCAGCGGCCAATTGCCTTCAGCAGCTTCTGCGCTCCAAGGTAGAGCAGGTCGCTGCCGTGTCCTAAAATCAGCAGTTGCTGAAGGGGCCTCGCGCTGCGGTCTCCCTTTGCGGGACCTCCTTTCACTGCCCTCCGGAAGGCTTCAAAGAAGGCTTGTCTTTCCTTGAGCGTGGGCGCACGCCCGCCCATCAGCGCTCCCCATGAGCATATGGCCGTGAAAGTCAAAGTGGCGACAGACGCCTTAGCACGCAAGGACAAGGGGAGAAGCTCCAACCGTTGCGCGATCCTGGTTGCCTTGGCGCGTCTGGCCTTTTCGGCATCAGACTCCTTGCGAGGTGTGATGCCAAGCGTGACTCCAAGGACCTCAGCGGTGGTTTGAGCCCTCCAGTCATTCCTGTTGAGCAAGTTTAAGCCCTGTTTATTCCTGGCGAAAACCTGAGTTTTACCCTCATGAGTTTTCAACCTAGTGCATTCCTCAAGGTTATGCCAGGCACGCCTAGCAGTTTCCAAGTCTTCGGGGGATCTCCCCAAAATGGTACGATCATCCAAATAAGTGAGAGTGACCGACTCCGGCGCCTGGTGCCTGGCCCACCGAATGACTGGTGCCAGGACAACCGCAAGGGCCATTGGTGCCCACACGTCTCCTTGCGGCAGTCCTCTACTACCCAAGAGCGCTCTGCGGCTGGCTGCTCCAGCAAAGGTGGCCCACCTGCCATGCGTGGCCCACTGGTGTGCCACAAGCTGCAGGATGACCTGCGGGCAGCCCATATGCCGCATCACCATGACGGCTAAGTCGGTATCCACCGAGTCGAAAGCCTTAGCATAGTCTAGAGCCAGTCCGACGGGGTACCTCCCCGGGGGGAACTCTAGTTCCGCTGCGACCAGCAGCGACTCCGCATCCAAGCCTCGAACCTGTCCTGCCTGATATGTATCCAGTGCAGTGGAGAGCGCCCTGGCAACCTGCCCGAACCGTACCCGACTCCACGCCCTATAAATCGCACTGCCGACCGCAATTGGTCGCACGTCTCCAGGGGTTGGTAGACGTGTTTTCTTTTTTGGAAGAAAAACAATTTTCCATTGAGTCATGGCCTTCGGAAAAACAGCCCTTTGTTCACACAGGGAGAGCAAGGCGGCCAGTCTTTCAAGAGCCTCATTGGGCAAACACATCAGGAGTCTGGGCGTAAAGCCGTCCAGACCCCCAACTGTGTTGGCCATGGGCCTGATGGCCTCCCGAAGCTGCTCCTTAGTGATCGGCCTGAGTTCAGGGAAGGGGGTGGTGGGGAATTGGACAAACCTACCAAACCTTTCCCAGTAACCTTGCAAATTGGCACCCGGCGTATCCGCCGTCCCAAAGATCCCCGCCCAGTGGTCTCTAAGGGTTTCCACCGCTTGCGCCGGGTGTGTGACCACCTGGCCATCACCTAGCTGAATCGCCTGTGACGGCGCCTCTTCCTGCCTAAGCCACTTACACGCCCCGGAGACGGTCCGGACACGTTCTCGCCAGTTCCTCAGTGCCACTTGCACAAGCAGTCTTTCAAGGCGTTGCTTAGCACGGGTCAGTGCCTCACCATGCCTGCCCCCTCGGATTGCCTCAGCCTCACTCCCTGGCTCCGCCATACGCAAGAGTCTGCGTCTAAGTTCTTCCGTGACCCTTCCGCCTCGGAAGTCATGCATCTGCGCCTCTTTGAGTCGCCGCACATGACGCCTCAGCTGCCTTTCCTCAGTACTTTGTCTGCCAGCCACCTGGTGACTACCACTTCGGAAGGCAGGGAACGAGCCCAGAGATCGCTCGCACCTGTTCGGGACCAACCATCCTGAGTGCAGAAGCCAAGTTTCCACATCCTTGGACCATGTATGCCACGCTTCCTCAACCGAGCCTAAGGCCCATAGCCAGTTCCTGTCGCAGGTGGCAACACTGTCCCATCTGATCGGCTCATCACAACTTGGCTCTGGTTTCAGTGCGCAAGTTTTGGCATGCCTCCATTCGGCAACATGACTTTTCATGCTAAGGTCCAGACTGCACTCAGCTATGGAGTGATCTCCACCGGAGCTGGCGTGTTCCTGTGGGGGTCCTGCCGCCCTTATGGTATTTTCAGTCCATATAGCATCTATTGGATGGGAACTCCTATCATGCCTAGCGACAGCCTGTAGCACGCCATGAACCCGGGTCATAGCATCCGGCCACCTTCCTTCAAGCATGTTAGCATTGCCATCCATGCCCAGGATCCAGGGTCGGCATGGCCCATTTTCCAAGTGCAGCAACAGACCTTCTAAGATTGAGAAGTCCGCGCTAGGCGGCCTGTACGCGGCAGCAACTCGAATGCTCCTGGCACATCCGTGAACTTCAGCCATCATGCTTTGGCCGTGTTCCGTGCATTCGTTGTGCAAGACTTGCAACGCCAGGGGTTTCCGCACCGCAATGCCTATACCGCCTTTGCCCGCCCCGACATGAAGCACCGCCTGGAAGTCCCATCCGGCATGTCTGGCCTGGTGCGAGATGCCAGGCCACGCTGCCTTGGTGCAGTTGAGTTCCTGGCATATGAGGATCTGCACGCCTGTCTTTTGAGCAAGTTCAAGGAGGTCATTCCCATGACGCCGCCACGAGCTCACGTTTTGTGACCAAACCTTGATAGGCTGTGGCCCTGGGTGCTTGGCCTCGCCAATGCGTTTGCCCCTGAGCCCCCGCCCTGTCGCCTTGGTAGCCGCGGCTCGCAGACCACTACTGGTGGCCTGTCCCTTGGCATTCTCCGCTCGGGTTTTGATGATTCCGAGCTTTTTCAAGGTTCGCTTGCACCCAAGCTGTGTTGAGGCAGCTTGCCGGCACTGTGCCCACAGCTGCTTTCTTTCAGCAACATCCGGTATGGGTCCCTTACTACTAGAACAAGTCGCCGTGGGAATGGAGTCCCTAGAAACCTCAATGCCACAGGCTTTACACTTGTGGAAGGGTCTGGACCATTTACGGCCCTGGGTATCATAAGACCGCCAAACTGACGGGTCCTGAAAAATATCATGAGCGCCAGGCCACCTGACCCGACTAAATTCAGCAAAGGAGAGATTCCATCGTTTGGTAAAACTGTCCTCCGCCGCCTTAGCTCTCTGAGGTACCGATGCCAGACCCACTGCTTTCCTTAGATCTGGCACCTTACTCAAACCGTGAGCCTCGCGTAAGTGTTGTTTCCGGAGGGCACCGCGGCGCTTTTCAGCGATGGAGTAGTCGACAGACCACTGACAGAGTTCGCATTTCCACCAGGAACTCGATGGTTCCTTTTGACTCTCTAGCGGGGCCCGGGGGATGCCTTTGGCCCAACCGTCCGCCGGTTTCACAAGAGACCGGTTGGCATTGGCAGTTTGCCTTGCAATTCGGTCCTGGACCTTGGCAGCCGCAGCCTGTGTTTTCTCCTCGTCCGTCCTGCGCCTCTTAGTTTCGCCTCTTTGGCGTCCAAGCCACGGGATGTCCTTCTTACTGAGGCCATGACAGGTCATGAGGTGTATCCTCCTCGCTTCATGGTGGCCTCTGACAATTTTATGACGGAACACCTGAAAAGCATTGCACATTTCACAAGTCCACCATAAGGTTCGGTCCCCTTGAAGCATCGGAGCAGATTTTCCATCCGGGGGCTGTTTGCCAACAAGCCTGCGTTTCTGGGACCCAGGCTCGCTAGATCTAGATTCACAGGCCAACGGCGTGTCCGGGGGGGCGCTAACGAGTGTGTGAACAGAGGGCGTAGCAGTACCATTCACATCCCTGTACGTGTGCACCGAGGGGGTGCCATCCAAAGTCACAGCTTTTCCCGGGGCGCACATGGTGTGAACCGAGGGGGTAAAACCACCATCGACAGCCGAAGGGACAGAGGGGGGTCCAGAACAAGAGGCCCTAGAAGGTCCCGCCCCGGAAAGATCGATCACCACCCCGACAGTTTCTTTGAGCCAGGCGCTGGGGATCTGGGTGCCTTGCGGTGGCCGCAGGGAGCAGTAGTGTTTATCTCTGAGCGTCAGAGTGATTGCTTGTTTACCTTTGGCGCATGCTGCAAAGCCGCCACTAAAGCGGCTTGCGACCGTGAATCTCTCCCACGAGGCCCTGTCCTTAGTCCAGCTCCAGATCACCACCGGGACTCCGAGCCGCTCAGAGAAAGCTTGAATAAGTTTCCCTTCGGCCCACGTGCCTTGGCGTGCCGCGCCCTCAATCCAGCTGTCAAAGTCCTGCTTACATGAGAACAGTTCAGAGAATCTGCCTTGGTGTTTCCGAGCATGCTGTACGCTACGAGACCTCAGGTTTGCTCCTTTAGCGATAGCACTTGCCTCCGTGAGGGGTTTCGGGTCATCTTCTTGCCAGGCCAAGCATTCGGCCACGGCTCTGAAGAAGCAGTCTCCCGTCCCTCCCAGATCCCGCATAACCCATTGTTGCTTAAGGGCCTCCGTAGGGTCCACAGGGGCGCAGGCCTCTGACCGGGCAGGACTTCGTATGCGGGGCTTTTTGGGCTCGGCTTCCGCATTCAAGGGACTTGGGGGTCTGGGGGGGTCCTCGAAGTCCGACTGGATATCATCCATGGCCGTTGGTGCTACCTCTTGGTCTGGCAGCATTTCAGCCTGGACGTCTTCATGTTTTTGCTTGGGCTTTTTGAGCTTAGACACAACGGTATCCTGCTTTTTCCCCGTGGTGAGAGCGACCGAAATAACCCAATCAGGGTCATCCTCCAGCTGATAGTTCCACGCAGAGGAGGCCGGTTCACCAGGCGGGGCAAACCCTTTGAAGTACCAACCCTGGCCTTTCTTGGCGCAGACTTCGACCTGCGTCCATTTTTGCCCTTGCAGGAAGTCAAGCATCCCATGACCGTGGCACCCCTGAGGCCATGTATTGCCTACTCCAGCCTCCTTCTTGGTCCCCCGGCATTTTGGGAAACCCCAGATCATGCCCTCCCCCATTACGGAAGAGAACCGGCTGCTCACGGATCCTTTTTTGGCTAAGGACTCTCCGGAAGTAGTCCTCCTCGCTTTCAGCGCGGGCCGTACGGACCCAATGCGCCTCAAGTCGGTTCTCGGGCCCAGTAAGGGTACTGAAAACACCTTTGTCGCCGCTGGTAGGAAGAACCTTAGCCAGGACCTCTTCCCGCAGGCGCAGGTATCCGACAATCTGGCTCATTTTGCCAGTTTCCTGTCTCTGCCAGTTGCCACCAAGCAGTTCACTGACAGACACACCAGCGTTCTGTGCCACCGCTTGTATCACAAGCGTCGGACTGTCCTTAGTAGAGTCGCCCCCTGCCTGTAGCAGGCCGGGGCAACCAGGCGGACAGTCCGCTTATTCGGGGCGGGGATGGCCGCTTTCGGCACAACCACCGTCGGTTTGGTCCAGGGTCCCGGGTCCTTTCCCAACTGAACCAAAGAAACCTTTTCCAACCTAGGTCCATCTTTTCCTCTGGTAACCGAAAGAGGCACCTTTTGCTTCAAGCCTTCCATAGCAGCCCCCAAACACACAGCGGTCAAGGGAGCCGGCTTGCCAAAAGCAGTCCACAGGTCCTGAAGTTCCTGCAGGTCGCATGCTCGTTCCACCACACAGACGTTCCCGTCCGGAGACGTGCCATTGGACATGTTTTCTCGCAGCTTGGAACAATTCGTCAGCTGCGGCACCTGTGTCCAATCCTGCATTCTGAGCCCCGTGACCTTGGGTTTCTTGCAATGGGCACTTTCTTGGAGCGAGGGGCCCCAACAAGGGTTGCAAAAGACCGCGTTCACAGGACGTGGGGGGGGGATTCAGAGTATGTTCCTTGTTTTCGGTGCGGGCCGGTGGCTGAGGTCGATACTGTTCGGGTCAACAGAGTAAACCCATCCCGGGCCCCATGACGAGCTGTCACATCGGACCCATTCCTTGGCTTTGGGAGCCATTTCAGACCTGGCGGCAGAGACCAAAGCCTGGGCCCCTTTCTTCTTTTTCTTCCTAGTCTTCTTCCCCGGAACAGCCCTGGGCGCGGAGACGAGTTGCTGGAGAGCCAGTCCCAGTTGCTTGTCACCACCCCCCTGGCTGAGAAACGTTTTGAGCTGGCCCAGTAAAGCACGAATGCCTTGGTTGTCCTTCCCTTGACTAGGGGCGAGGGCAGAGAGCAAGGAAACAAGGGGATCCAAGGGCAAGGGGGCCTTCTTCTCCTTCCTCCTGCGGCGGGTCTTGGCGGACCCCCCGCCCCCTCCTGCAAGGTCCTCAGCACACAGGCATGCTCATCTTGATGCAACACATGTCCGTAAGAGACGTGAAGGACCGGCTCAGTGCATGAAGAACCGGGTCGACGGATCAGCCATCCCCGATCTCTAGCCTTAGGTGCAAGACTTTTCCACCTCAGTTGCTTGGCCCGTCGCCTATGCCTCAGCCTGGGGGATGAGACACGTGCGCGGCGAACCCACCTAGCCTGCCGGACTATACGCCCTGCAGGCTCAGTATGCGTAACCTGTACATTGACTTTGCGTCTTTTCCGTACCTTCTTCATGTGATGGGGCCTGGGGGACCAAAAAGGCTTTTGGAACCACACGCCCAAACTTCCCATCCCCAACCAGTGCAAGAACACCAGGGGGGCAAAAGCAAAAAGCCATTTGAGGGGCAGCCACCCAGAACCAACCAACCAGGGAATCTCACGCGTCCAACAAACACGTCCGAGGTTTCCCCAAACAGCAGGCCCAGGGGTAGTTGCCGAGTGCTCGCGGAGAGAGTCCACGACCTCCACAGCTGGCGCAGCATCAGCATCGGCCGCGGCCGCAAGAGCGTGGTGCAACTCCACGCGTCCCGCAGCATCGGCCACGCAGTGCGGCACCGACTTATTCGTAATTAGGGGGCCCGAAGGGCCTGGTGCAAGCGGCCAGTTGGCCAGAAAAGTAGACTTGGATTGAGCGCCATGAAATTGGACAAGCAACAGCACAGCGGTCAAGCAACAGCGCAGCGGGGCAGAGCACCTAACAGCACACCTGCCTGGGCCGGCCCGGCCCTTACCTCGAGTGTCACGACACTCCTTTTTGTTGAATTCAGTGTTGGCCCTGTCTAAGGACAGTTCGGCTCTTGAGCGGCCCGTAGGCTCTTGTGGCTCTTTTCTGTTCTGAACAGCATCTTCTTGCACACTTCGTACCCTTTCACAAGGGCCCCCGACTCCCTCGCCTCCAGGAGGCTGGCGGTAGTGCTCGTAGTCGGCAATGTAATATGCCTCTTGTTTATGCATGTTTGCTCCCTGATTGATTTAGGGAGACTGTTTTGTTGTTTGTTTGAGAAGGAGTCATCAATCAGGGATCGAACATATGGCGACCTTGCAAGGGGTTTTGTAGCTTCACCCAGACTGAACAACCCTTGTTTCTGCTTGACCCGGGAACTACGCCACTGGTGGCACGCCTCGCGTCGAGACAGGTTCAGGTGATACCGTTTTTGCTACAAGCCGGAGAAAATTTTCTGTTGGCGTATCCCCAATACAGGACATATCCTCCCCAGAGATTTTCTCTTTGCAGACTAAAGTTATGTATGGAGGGCCCGGGGCAACTCTCTCTCTCTCTTTCAGGGCTGGGGATGGGAGTTTGCACCTTGCGCAGGCTTTCGAGAGCTTCTTCCTGCATGCCTCGCCGATGTGGAGACTCGCTCAGCGAATCAAGCCTTTTTTTGGGTTTTAGTTTTTGGTTAAGTCATGGGCCAGAAGGTTCTACGGGTTTTTTCAGGTGCTTTGGTTTGCAAGGCTCTCCTACGCCGTGCGATGGCGGTGGACAGACGCGCTTCTGCAGCCCACGCCTTCGGCCACGTGGCAAGAGCGGAAAGGGCCGTATTGGAGTTCTGAGGACGTTTCCAAGCGAAACTGGGTGACAACCACTTGGCTTTGGGTCAAAACCAATGTTACCATTTTGGGGTAGGTGCACCACCCATTTTAGTCGAGTTTAGTGGGGATTGGGATGTTCACGGGGGGTACGATTTGGTTGGCCACTTGGCTACTTAGCTAGTTGGAAGGGAGCCGTTGTGGAGCTGGTGTCCTGCAAAGAGGGAGCTGGGTAGCCACCAGGAGTTCTGCAAGCACGAAGACATGAGCCATTTGGGCTGGTTTCCGAGCAGCCAGGCATAGGTCCAGGTGGCAATCGCAGATTGACAGGCAGCTTTGGGATTGAAGTTGCGCACTCGTCGACATGAGGGACCATAGCAGACATAAGCTTGATTTGGCCGAAAATTGCAGATGCAGGAGCTTGGCTCTTGCTGTCCATGACGAGGGCGCTTGCAGCCATAGGAACTGGGCCCCTTGTTTGGATGCAACCGAGGAGCACCGATGCAGCGCCATGCTGAAACATCCCCATGTCAAATCTGGGTCCCAACTGGTTGGTTTCTTCGGAGCATCGACAAAGTGCGCATTTGCTTTGAGCCTACTTGAGGGTATACGTGTAGGTCGAAAACAAGCCTCGTTCAGGTGGGTGAGCTGGTGTCGGCAGCTTGGCAGACCTTGGCCCCCCCTTTCATAAGTCAAGGAGAAAAGAAGCTAACAAAATTAAGGGACCTCTCAATGTATCAGTTTCGTTATTTTTTCGTTGGTTTCCCGGCAATATGTACAGAATCATCCGGGGGTGCCCTTCCAAAGTCAAGAACTGGTCGGAAGCTCAATAATTTACCACCAAAATACCCAGCAATTGTGCTCGAAGATGCGGTTGGTTCACAGCCAGTGGCCCTTAGATTTCCCAAGTGCATGTTTTCCTGCGGAAATTGCCACGAGCTCGCGGATCTGGATGAAGATCCCTTTCCTTGGTATTTCTCCTTTCTGCTTCGTGCTGCTGCTGCTATTACTATTACTACTTGCTACCACTTCTGCTGCTACTGCTACTGCTGCTACTACTGCTACTGCTACTGCTGCTACTGCTGCTACTGCTACTGCTACTGCTGCTACTGCTGCTACTGCTACTGCTGCTACTGCTACTGCTGCTACTGCTGCTACTGCTACTGCTACTGCTGCTACTGCTACTGCTGCTACTGCTGCTACTGCTGCTACTGCTACTGCTGCTACTGCTGCTACTGCTACTGCTGCTATTGCTGCTACTGCTACGGCTGCTACTGCTGCTACTGCTGCTACTGCTACTGCTGCTACTGCTACTGCTGCTACTGCTGCTACTGCTACTGCTGCTACTGCTACTGCTGCTACTGCTGCTACTGCTACTGCTGCTACTGCTGCTACTGCTACTGCTGCTACTGCTGCTACTGCTGCTACTGCTATTGCTGCTACTGCTGCTACTGCTACTGCGGGAAGTCTTTTGGCCGATCGTTGGCTAAAGCCTTGGACAATCTTGTCTGTAGGGTTGAATGATTGGTTCAGCAAATGGCCCAATGTTCCAATACATCGTACCCCTGTATAAAGAATCTCCTCGTGGGTTTGGTGAACATATCTTCGGACGCGGTGGACCAGTTTGCAAGATCATTTTGCTTGATGTGCTCGCTGGATCGGACGTCCAGTTGGATCCGCAGGTCAGTTGCCACGTAACCCTCGAAGGCTAAGGAGAAAGGACTGCTTTTAACGCCCAAGAGGAGGCTGGCATTGGGAGCAGTCTGTTGGAGGGAGGCTGGCATCGAAGGCTGGCATTGCAGTTTGTGTTTGGTGGAAGGAGTGGAGGGAGGTGTTCTCCCCAGTGATTGACTCGCCATTGTGGCTTGACCATTTTGTTTGCGCGCGCGAGTTGGGATCCAAGTGTGGGATGTGACTCCCGGCTCTGGTGGTGTCGTTTTTTGGGGCTCACCGGGTGCTTTTGGCTGCAAGGGCAATTTCGGAGTGCTTCCAGAAATGGAAGAAGAAGGAGTGGAGTCTGTTCTCCTGTGGTTTGCCTGATGTTCCCCTTGCCCCTCCCCGTTTCGGACATAGAAAGAACTGGATTGAGGCTGGGCTCTACAAGTTGTACTTGCCCTGGAGCATCTCATACCTGTCGTTCCTGTTGCTGCAGCCGTTCCTTCCGGACCGACATCCGGGTCCGTCGGTCCGTCTCTTTGGAAATGCGCCGGTACATCAGTGAGAGCTTTCTCGAACACTCGCTGCCTGTTGAGAAAGTGGGCGATTCATAGCCGCATTGTTTGCTTTGCAACCATGAGAAAGACTTGTTGCAGAAGGATCCTCCGGATTTTTGGCTCGGTCAGTTATGACTCGCGTTTAAGTACCCAGAACAATGACAACAAGGGCTTTTTGGGGAGCCCTTGCACTTTTCCCTTATCATTCATTCCGTCCAACCCCTGCAATGGCACAACAACAGCGATGTTCACCTGAGGAACCATGGTAGGAAACGAGTGCGCAACTAGACTGTTCCAGCTTTTTTGGACTTGGCAGCAGAGGCAGGTGATTGCGCTTATTGACTGAGTGTCGGCATCAGAGGACTCGCTGTAGAAGTGATTCCGCGGATCCTGAGTCTGTGCAAGTACTATGTGTGGCTGAAGAAACCCAAGACGCCAACAAGTGCGTACACAGCTGCTGCACTGACGATGAAGAACTGTGTGGTGCCTTGGGACATATTTTTCACAGAAAACTGGAGTGCTGAGTCATCGACTCATCATGAGCCGTCCTTCAGTCCGTGATCGACTCATCATGAGCCGTCCTTCATGCTCTTCATGGCACCTTCCCAGTTTTCTATTCGCGTTGTGCGCGTCAGTGCCCCATCAGCGGTCCTTGCGCAAGGACCGGCTGGCCGGCCTCGAGACATTGATGGACGGCTTCATCTTCCCGGCGGCCACCAAGACCTTACGCTTACAGGGCAAGCGCAAGGTGGGAAGATGTAGAAGTGACTCAGAACTGTAGACATTTGTTGGATGAACAATGTACCCTCCTGTGTCTACATGGCCCATGTTTTCTGATTTTGCCAATCCCAAAGTTGATGTGCTTTCCCTTGCTAAATGGTGAATTTGGCGAGTGACTGATTTCACGCCCCACATGGTTCTTGCGGGGGTTCCCTTTTAATCAGGACTCTCGTTGCAGTCATCTCGAAGTGGCACAATCGATTTACCCACCGCACGATTGGCAGTCTTCCAGAAACTGCGCGATTGGCTGCCGTCAACTCTTCAGCTCAGCTACCTCAGAGTTTGGGTTGCCAAGGCGCGCTCGATGCTCAAGCTTTAGCCTTGTGTGTTGAGTTGCGACTCCCAAATGTAAGGCAATAAAATGCGAGCCCTCACGTTGCAAGTGCTGGCTTTCCATGAATGAGTGCATGCATGTTGTGTTTGGCCTCTCATCTATTGAAAGAAATCAAGCGCATTATATTGCTTGGGATTGCGCAGAAGAAACCAATCTAGCTTGAAACCTCGGCAGGGTTGAGGAGTAGCTTTTGCAAGACCGTATTTCCATGAAGGTATTCGCTTCTTGGCCAAATGGCGGAAAACGCTGCCACCCTGCAAGTAGGAAAGCATGGAACGCGTGGGGACTTCTTGCAAGCCTCCCATAAGCGGTGGTTCTTCTGGTGCCTGGGGGGAATTGTCAAACTGTGCCTTGAGCAAGTGGGGTGCGTGGGGCACCCCACTCGAAGACTAAGGAATCCTACGAGAGGAATTGGTCTGTTGCTCCCCGTGCTTTGGTGGTTCCAAACCTCAAACGCGGATTGTTTGAGCAACCCTGATAGGAGTTGTATCACATTTAGATGGTTGGGGAAATGTTGTTTTAATTGCGCCCTTTTTTGGGTTGTTTTAATCGGACACCAGAGTGCAGCCAGCCCGCTTTCGGGGGAATCTTGCGACCAACCTCCGAGAGAAGCGCCGTAACGGCGTGCATCTCGCACGCAGAATTACCTCTCCTTCGCCCCGACTGTGATGGCGGCGACCCTGGCACACGCCGCTCGGCACCACAGAATCGAAGATCCACGCTGTTGGAGCCACAATCCAAAGCATCAGTCAGGGGGCCTTTTTTTAAACTTACACACACACATGCGCGGATATTCGGACTTCCGATTCTTTGTGCATGGTTTGGGGTGGACTCCTTTACAGCCATACGTCAGTTTTGAAGAAGAAGGGCAACCATCTGGGCAAATTAAATCGCGACCTCACAAACTGAACAGGTTTTGTTTGCATGAATCCTCCTTTTTGGTGTGTCCGCACTCTCAGGAGTGTGAATGCCAACTTACCCAGGACCCGAAAAGAAGGGTTCAACGGCCTCATTTTACGTTTTGAGATTCATGAACTGAGGACCTCAAACAGAGGAGTTGGGAATGTTGGGAGCAAAAGTTGCGATGGGTTTGCGTTGGTTGTGCGTGTATGGTCAGTCAGAGCGAGGGGCAGATGTAGTTCTCGGTTGCGCGCAAGATCCTGCCTTTTGACACAAGTCAAATCTTAAATTGTATCATGGGCGGGCCTGTTCTGAATGCGATACTCTCTCGATACTCACTTTGCCCATGACTTCGACGGTTTGCGTCATGCCCTTGGGGGAATAACTTTGACAAAGGTGAACCAATGAGGCTAGAGAGAGCCTTGCAAGAAATTGTGCAGCCCAATGAAAAGAGTTGAACGTGTGCTGCGTGTTGTCAAGAATTGTTAGGCAGTCAAGACTGAGTCGAGACAGCTTATTGGGACTCTGTTTGCGTGCTTGTGTAAATCCTATTTACGCATATTTTCCTGACTCCATCCAAAAGGTATTGTCTTAGACATGTGACCTACAGCTAACTTGCTCAGAGACTCAGACAGTGAAGTAGCTATACCATGACTTCCCCGCGCCGCCAAAGTTCAAGGGTTTGATGGCGGTTCGCTTGATTCGGCCGTGTGGTGTTCCTTTTTGTTCTTATGGTCATGGTCTGACATGTTTACGCAGTCGAGAATCAAGCACGCCGGCAAGCCATGCTGCGTCAAACTGCGGCCTTTCTGTTATGCGTGGTTGCTTCATAAAGCCAGGCTTTGACATCTGTGTGGGTTTTTCGGCTCACGAAACGACAGGCAGTTCTCACTGTTTTTGGGCAGGTCAGATTCTGCACCTCCTACTCATGCACACGCTCAGACACACGCACACGCGCACAGAGTATGATTCCCTCAGAAAACAGACAAAGAGCAACCTCAGCGCGCACCTCTTGAGCGCTCTCTGTTTCGCACTTAGACACAGACCACCATCTAAAGATATGTTTGAAGCTTCCGCCCTGCCGGCGTCGCCATCTTTACTGGTATGAACTGGTGGTATACCCAACGACTTCTGCCTGTCTGTTCCGCGGCTCATAATTTCGCTGTGGGTCAAGAATAGGGTAACCCCAAATTGGAACCCTGGTAAATGGAATCAGGGGCGAAGACCTGCGGTGCCCTGGTTTCACTTTGACCCATACCCCTATGTTCGTTTCCACCGGCCTCGAGGCCTTGCTCTCAGCTTCGGGACTTCTGGCTGCAGCGCTGGCCTTTCAGCATCACTCAGTTCAGGCCCGGGGGACCCGAAACCCGGCGCCCGAAGGGCAGTTGCCGGGGATGCCGTCGCCCCGTTTTTTTTTTTTTTAGTTTTTGCCAAAGTAAAATTAACCCGCATGTGAATCAACGAACCCGTTTATTCAGAGGGGGGGGGGTTGACTCCTCCAAAGTGGTCCCATTCCCCACTGAACCCAGGGGCACCCCCCATCAACAACTGGGGTTGATTAATGAGGGGTCAACAGTGATCGCAAAAGAGAAGATGACAAGTCTAAAGGATAGCTGCACCCCTTTGGAGTCTTTGAGTTGTTCACTTCATGAGTTGGGATGACACAGAGCAAATCCGGCGAAAAAGTCCGGTGAAATAGTCACCACTTTCTGTGGGGATGCCTCTATTCCGGGCAGAAATTCAAGAGAAGCTTGCAACAAATACCGGATTGTGTGACTCTGCAAACAGCTTTCTTCACATTTGCGCTGGGGATTCGTACCTGAGACCAGGAATCATCTAGACATTATGCTTGTGGCACATGTTTCACATGTTTGGGCACTATCGAATGTATTCGACACGTTCCTTATTGAGCATATTCGTGATCAGAACCCATGTGCAAGCTATTCCATGGCTGGTGCTCCCAACTCTCAGAATTGGTGTTACAAAGGATGAAATTGGGCGCATAAATACGTGCCCGCATGAAGGTTTCGGTTTGCTAATGGAGGAAGCATAGTAAATTCATCCATGATGTGTAGGACTTGTTGGTCTGCGTTGCCTCGGTGGGCAAGCTGACGCATGCCCTTCAATGATCTAGTTGGTTTTTGAAAGGACACCGCCGCCTATGTTCTCTGAGAGACTTGCTTGCTTAGAGGCAGATTTTTGGATGCAACAACAGGTGCTGTTTTATTTTGCGAGTTGAGAGTTTTGTGTTTGTGGAAGTATCTGGAAAACCAAGGCAATGGGTCTTGCACATATTGCTGGCCATTGCAATGCGTGCGCCCACTTGTTGCAAAACGCTGCGTATGATTGGCCCACTCAGGGTCACGGAAAACGATTGTGTATCTCAGGGGGTGTGCGATGCAAATCTATACCCTTGCCTCTTGCATACGTTTTGGAACTTCATGTATAGGTTGGTAACTTCGAGGTGGAACATGAAAGCAGGCGATTTCGGATCGGCCGCCATGTTCCCAGGGGCCACGACTGGCCCCATGGGATGCCCTCGGCGTATGCCTTGGTGCTTCGGGCTCAGGTGGCATGGATCGCCTGTGTGGTGCTGGGCTGCCTGGTCTCCGGCTTCCGGTTCTACCACCTCTGTGTGGCCCAGCTCGCACGAAGGGGTCAGCCCAAAGGGTGTCCAACTCTTTGGCTGTGACTGGGCAACTAAGAGCTGGTTTGGTTTTCTGGTGTCAGCTTTCTTTCCGTTTACCGGTGGAACAGCTAAAACAGGCTCGGACAAAAGCACCACCTTCGCTTGGGGTCTCTTCAACTCAACCAAAGGGCCTATAAACCGGTCACGTTGAGAATCTGAATGAAGATGGGTTTTGAGGGTTGTCAAAGATGAGGTGGCTCTCTTTTGCTACGTAAGGGCGGGGCCGCCTCTGAACTTTAGAGACCTGCGCTTTTGAGCCATGCGCATCGTCATGTATGGGGCTCAGAAGGTCCGGCAAACATGGGA